GGAGTTTTCAGAAGCCTAACTAAGCATTAATTAAAATGTTGCATATTAGGCTAGACATGACATGACATCACAGATCAGCCTACCTCGACGGAACCTATCAAGACTTGTCACATTATATACTGTATGCTGGTTTATTGAAGATTCTGAGGGCACCTAAAACTCGAATGCAATAATTATTATAGCGACCGTTACATTACACATTATAAACCAAATAATCGTACGTGTTCTACATTACTTAACAACATTTTTTCTTATTAATATCTTTCACATGTTTTCCAAATAATTTTCCCAAAATCATTAAAAACTGACCCAAAATATTTCGACCATTCAATTATTCTAAAACTCCTTGCAAAATGGGATTAATTTCAATAGAACGTATTTCGACCGTGAAACAAAATATATTCCATCCCTCACACACCATCATTGTCTAATTTTTTTTTTCTTTATACTCATGAATATTTTTTGCGAAAATATTTATTTTTCCAAACAATAAACCTAATAAATAAAGTTTGCTATTTTTTTGTGTTCTTTATTTAACGATTTGCTTTTACAACGAAAATCAAACGAAAATCTATGCCTTTGCAATTGGATTTTGGGCTGCAGACACTTGAGCTACATAAAACGGTTTATTATTTTTCGACATAATATTCGATAAGTCATTAAGTGTTGTAATGGTTGTAAATCCCACAGAGAAGATAATAATTGTACGTATATTTAATGTGTGTGCGTAGTATGACAGTCTGAAGGCCTCAATGTCTATTGACTTGTCTGTTGTCATTCCATTGGTGAAGTGAAATCACTTCAAGCTATTTTTTTTTTGGTCGTTTCATTTCATTTCTCTTATGGTCGCTTCTGCATAAATGTATTAATATGACAAGAAAAATGAGCTTAACCTTGAATAGAGGCGATGCAGAGTAGAGTAGAAAAAAAGAAACACGAAAAGAAGCAGCAAATAATTTTATCTGGAATTTTGATATTTCCAAGAACTCAGTTGTCATTCATTTTCATAAACTGTAGGTATGGGTGTGTGTGCATCATTATCGTTATGTTTTCTGCAAGTCTAAGCATATTTTTGTAGACACATTCGATTGATTTGGACTCAGACTACTCCATGGCCTGCTGAGGCTTTTTGTTAGCCTTCAGCTTCAGCTTGACATGGGGTGAGATACTTGGAGACATTGATGTTGTCGATTTTTATTACTGTCAAGACTGTTTTCTCGATTTATCGATAAATAAGCACAAAAGTTGACAAACAAAAAATTCCATTACAAGTCTGGTGTGGCTAATAATTTCCACTTAATTTATTTAATAACCAATATTGGTTGGGCACAGAAAAAAAATTGGCAAGCAATTTTTGGCAACGATTTGGAGTCTTAAATTCGAAGAATTTTTAGTATAAAAAGGTATTTTTCATTTGAAAATGATACAAATTTTCATGGTAAATTATCCTTTTTTTTTTTTTTTTTTCTGATCGTCGTTTATGGTATTTAATCTTTTCTCCGGAATTCATACATATGAGTACGATAAGTTTAAATAGGCATTTTCAGAAAGTAAAAGATGATTTGATTGTTTGATAGTTATAATCCATTAATTAATAACACTGCGAAAAACTGTTATAAAGTTTTTAAAATATATTGCAATAAAAATATTTTTAACGTCGACTATACGAATATAAGCTGAAAGCAATTTTCCACAGATGAGATGTCAATGGGGCGTATGTGGTTCGTAACTGTATATTGTTACGTATACGCACTGGAGTACGTAACATGAGTAATTAAAACCACGAAATGTCTAAAGTTGGTCGGGGCCGACTATATGATGCCCCACGCCACTATGCTTATTTAGTAGAGCTCCCATAACAAAAAAAGTTTATATTGCGAATTTATGTGAAGTAGATTATACAAACTATGAACCTTATTTGAATGCGTATCATGGCCTTAGAGTAGTCACAATTTGGGAACTGTATCCAACTCTGAATCGATTTTCAACAAATTTGACGGAGGCTTTTGAACCTCTATTATAAAATAACATTGCCTTATAGTGCAGCTTTGTATCAAAAAATATTTATGGAAAAATATATATACCGGAGCGGGTTTCACCAAATGAAAAAAAATCGTTTGAATATGAAAAATTCTATCCAATTTAAGCTGATATTATATATATGGTAAACATTAAGCGTAAAATCGGATAAAGATGTATAGCGATCTCGATAAACTTTGGCAGACTTATTTTCTAACTAACTCTGATGGCCGGTATCAAATATCATTGATGTGGAGAGCAAATTACGCATGTATATATGTTCTGATTGAACATATATATGGGAGTTATAGATATATCTGAACCGATTTTCGCCAAAATTTGAAGTACTTGCCGCTAGGCTGCATTCCGTTCGATAGTGCCAAAATTAATGCCATTTGGGCTGATATAAGCAATTTGGTGCCACATCCAAATCCAAGCTATATCTAAATCTGAACCGATCCCGAAAAAAATTTAAAGAGGTGTTTTTAAACTCCATAAGTTATCTGGTACCAAAAATCATTGTTGTGGATTGCATATTACGCATGTACCCAAATCGGATGAAACATATTTGTGGGAGCTATAGCTGTAAATAAACCAATTTTCACCAAGGTACATTCTCTTTCACTCTCGACAACTGACCATTTGGTGCACAATTAACCCGAAGATAAATTGAAGATATACTGGGTGAGATGAAAAAACTGCAACCAACTTCAGACTGCTGTCATTTCTAAGCCACTCATCCGACAGTTTTTAAAATTATTCCAGTGACAGCTCATTATATTGTTTACAAGCGTACAAAAGCATTTTGGTGAGAATTTTCCAGAAAAAAGTTTATGCGTGATGGAACTCAAGGGTGATAGTGTGATTTCGTTATATTTGGCTGGACAACTACAAGTGGCTATCGTCAGAGCACTCCAGCATTTAAATGTGAATAAGTCTTTTGTGTCTCGTACCATCGCTCTTTACCGTGATATTAGTAGCGTAGCCCTACATCAAGGAAGTGGACGGAAGAAAACAGCAACATCAGCAGAAATGGTTCGAAAAGTAAAGAAGCGACCTGATCGAAACCCGCGTCGCAGTGGCCGAAAAATGGCTAGTGAGCTGAACATAACGCAGTATTCCATTCGGCAAATATTGAAAAATGAGAAAAATGAATATTACAGCGAAAATATTCTTGAGGATATATTAAAGCCTTGGACACGCAAAAATTTTGGCCGCAGACCATGGACATTCCAACAGGACTCAACACCCTCGCACTCAGCACGCGCAACCCAAGAATGGTTACAAAATGAGGTTCCTCGCTTCATTTCCAGCTCAAAATGGCCACCAAAATCTCCGGATACCAATCCGTTGGACTATTGTGTCTGGAGTATTTGGGAAAGCAAGGTTCAGACTAAAAAATTCCAAGGTGTTGATCACCTCAAGTAAGCTCTTCGCCGGAAATGGGCCAAAATTCCGCAGAGCAACATTCGAGCAGCGTGTGACGGTTTCATTGTCTGTTTGAGCACCATAATTCGTGCCAATGGTGACCAAGTCGAAGAAATCTAAACTTATTCTAAAAGTTGATGCTATTTCCGATTTTTTTGCTTTCATTCAATAAAATTAAAATAAAATTGTAAAAATTTTGGCGTTTGAATTTTTCTGCAGTCTGTATCTGAACCGATTTTCCCCAAATTTGAAGTACTTGTTTTTAATATGAATTTGGTCGGAATTACCAAAATTCAGTCCATTTAGGCTGATATTAGCCTCTTGGTACGCAATTAACTTAATATCGGATAAAGATACAATATCTCAATATGACTAGATGAGGTATTTTTGAGCTCTATAAGTTATCTTGTACCAAATATGATTGCTGCGGAGTGCATATAACGCATGTAAGGGACTTAAACACCCAATTCGGATGAAGCATATATATGGGATCTATAGCTATAACTGAACCGATTTTCACCCAATTCTAAGTACTTGCTTCTAAGCTGAATTAGGTTGGATTGCAGGTCATTTGTACATATATTAGTCATTTGGTGCACAAAAACCTGAAATCGGATAAAGACATATATGGGAGCTACATCCATTTCTCAACCGATCTTGACAAAATGTCACACACTTATTTCTCTGAGCTATGCATGATGTCTGCTACCAAAGATTATTGTTGTGGAGTGCATATTACACAGATAAGGTACTTAAAATCCCAAATCGGATGAAACATATATGTGGGAGCCATACCTGAACCGATTTTCACCAAAATTGATGCACTTGCACTCTACGAAATTCGGTTGGATGTGCCAAGATTTGGGTCATTTGAACTGGTATTGGCCATTTGGTGCATAATTAACCCGAAATCGGTAGAGGATATATACGGGAGCTATATCAAAATAATAACCGATTCTCAACAATTTCAATAGGGTTCGACCTCAGGCCAAAAAAAAATGGTTTGGAAAATTTCATCTCAATCGGATAATAATTGCGACTTGCATTTTGCAAAAATATATGTAAAAGCGGAAGGACGAACAGGCGGACTGACATTCATAAATCGGTTCAGAAAGTGATTCTATGAAGTTCCTCAAAAGTAACTATGGGTCTATCTCACTTCCTTCTCCATGTTAAAAACAAATGCACAAAAACATAATACCCTTACCACTATGTGGTGTAAGATAAACAGCAAAAAATCAGTCGCACTCATGAAACAAATGTTTCAAAAATATTCTACTTTGAACCGTAGAAGTGAAAAGTTCTCTTCGAGCACTGCCTTTATTAACATGTTTTTTGTGCCACATGGTATCAATATTCAGCTACGCCCCTTACCCATAAAAAGCTAAAATGTCTGATGAATTAGAACACAATTTCTTGTATTTTTTGACAAAGACATTTAAATTTCAAAATTTATTTATTTCTTCATCCGAGTCGCCTCAAATATAAATTATTCTCATTTCAAATTAATAGCACATATTAATTAATAGAACATAATTAAATGATGGACTTACCTATCAGAAATATTATCAGATGAATGATGTACCAGAAATTCTGTTGACTTGGTAATGGCAGCGTGAAATATTGCTGCTGGTGATGGTAGTGGCTGTGATGATGATGGCTTTGATGTTGATGATGACTGTGACTGTGACTTTGATTCTGGCTGTGATGATGGTGCCAATGTTGCTGAGGCTGCGGCTGCTGTTGGTGGTGGTGATGATGATTGTGGAAACTCATGGTTAATTCCGTTTCGCACAAAAATGTTGCTCCTTTTGTTGCGTTTGGTTTTTTTGTTTTTTAAATTTGATGCCCTCTTTTATCTCTCTTGGGGGATTGAAATATTTCAGTCTTTTTAGAAATTGTGGCGAAAAAAATATCTCAAAAGATAATTTATCATAAATGCTGTACAGCCGCCAACGACAACGGGTTATTAGGCAGTATTGAGCTTTTGTTTCACACTCACACCCAAACGTTCAGAACGCGCGCAGATATACAGATTATTTGGCTGATTATTTCCTTTCAGTTGCTAGTTTATTTAAATCTGAAAAACAAGAAAAAGAAGAATAAGAGGAAGAATAATTAAATCTTTGTTTTTTGTTGTTTTTGTGCTGTTGTTTATCATAGATAAAGATATTAAATGCTTGGTTTAAACTTTCACATTTTGTGTTGTGTTGTTAATAAATTATATTTTGCGCTTTTACTTATACATTCTATGCCAAAGGCAAGAATACAACTACAACAACAACACAAATGCGTTATTTTTTTTTTTTTTTTTGTAATCAAGGACAAACAACAAAAACATTATTTTCAAGCAATAATTAATCACTTGCTTTAGAGTAGTTTGCTAGCAAAGTTTATGGGTTGCTCCTCACCCATCATCTGTTATTCGGAACGCTGCTGGGTTACGCGTTATTAGCATTGATGAAGCTTTTCAAAATGTCAAATGGCTTTGGGTGGTGTTGGGTTTCCACGAAAAACCATTTTAAAGATTATGTGATCACCACTGCCTGCTTCGGAGGAAACCCAACAAAATGTAAATATTTAAATTGTAATCGGAGTGCTTAATATAGAGTAACCGAAACTGGCGGGCTGGCTGGCTGACTGAGTGAGCGATGCTGACGCTGCTGATGCCATTGGATGCTGGTACTGTCACTAATGTTGCCATGACCGCCATTTGTCGAAGCCAAAATATGTATGTACAACGTTCAACCAACCAACCAACCAGTCAGCCACCCAGCCAGCATCATTGTCTTCATGTTCCGCCGCATAAAGATGCTGTTCGTTTTAAATATTCCGCTCTTCAGAGCTTGATTTAGAGGTTCATAAATTTCCAAACATTTATAGCTAAGATTAATTACCACTACAACGAATACCGGAGCCCATCAGCCAGTGAAATGGCAACTATGCTATGTTCGATAGCGAAAGGGGTTATTAGAAAAGCATAGAAAGAAGATTAAATATTGGAAATTTTTTGGCAATGGAAGACTTCGTAGAACTTAAATGCCTATAAATATATATTTTTATGATGGTATTTTCAAGGACCTTCTCTTCCATTAACTTGAATTTTTTATAAAGATTTTTCAAGGGTTTTCAGAGTCATTGTTTTTTATTAAGATTTTTAAAGACATTGTTCAAGACGTTCCTAAAATCTTCCAGGGCCATTGAAGGTAACTTTAAATTAGATATTTGTAAGGATCTAGAGAAACAAGGGAGAAAAAAGTTTTAAATTTTTTTAAGTTTTTTAAGTGTCATAAATTGAATTTTTTAGGAAAAATTTTTAATTCATTTTTTGAGATTTTTTAAGGGCATTGAGTGCCAAAAGCGTGGTGTCTTTGAAAGATTTTTTTAAAGATATTATTAGAAGGGATTTTTAAATCGATTTTGAGGGACATAAGGATGTATTTTTGTACACGATTTTAATCATTTTAAGGCTCATTAGAGTGCACGATTTAAGAATATTTTTTAATAGGATTTTGAAGTCCATGGGCGTGGAAGTTTTAAAAAGGATTTTTGAAGAATTGATGTGGTGATTTTTTAAAGGTATTTTGAGGGTCTATGAGTGTAAGTTTTATGGACACTTCTTTGAAATATTTTGAGTCTTTTAGCGTGCATCTTTAGAAATTATTTTAAGAGGATGTTAACGTTCAAATGTGAATATTTTTTGAGATATGATATTTAAAAGGATTTTTGTATCCTTAATAAGATTTTTATTTATTTATTTTGTTTTTTGAAGGATTTTGAGGGCCTATGAATGCAAGTTTTTTGGATATTTCTTTGAAGGATTTTGAGTTCGTTTGCGTGGATTTTTTAAGAAGATGTTTTGAAAAGGATTTGCGGAAGATTTTTTGAACGATGATATTTTAAAGGATTTTGATAAACCTAACAATGTGCTTTGAAAAAGTATTATTAGAGGGACATGAGGCCTTGGGCTTCTTGTAAGTTTTTTATTATGATTTTTTTTAACAAATTTAAGAGTGGATTTTCACACTTATTATCTGCAGGATTTCGAGAGCTACACGCTTGAATTTTTAAAAAAGTTTTTTTTTTCGGTTCATAATTTTTGTTTTTGATACCCTACAACACTATGTGTGATACCCTACAACCCTATGTGGGGTATTATAGTACAATTATACAACTATGTAACACCTCGAAATATTGGTTTCCCACATTTCCCGAGCTGAGTCGATCTAGCTATGTATGTCCGTCCGTCGGTCCATGTCAATTTGTAATCACTCTACAGGTCGCAATTATGGTCCAATCTTCACGAAATTAAGATTGGAGGTGGGGCTAAAGCCAGAATAGAAGTCTGTTGCTTGAAATGGACCAAAAACTGAAAAAAATCCTGATTTTGGAGTTGCTCTACAGGAAGTAAGCATGGTGCTAGAGCTTAAGGCTTACAACACAGGTTGGGGTTATTATATACAGATTGCAATTTTCGTTCGATCCTCACGAAAATTTTCACAAGGGTAGGGTTAGGCTATGTCCGCAAAATATTTAGGGGTTGAAATGGACCAATAACTAAAAATGTTCCTGATCTTGCAGCCGTTATAATGGTCTTAAATAGAAACCAAAGGACAGAAAATAAAAGTGAATGGACCACTACTTTTGTGTGAAAAAAATACAATTTACCATTTTCATTCTACCGAAACGCTGAAAATAACTTAAAGGCGAAATCCAAAATACACAAATGGCGAACTTCTGGCTTTTTTATGTTGATTTCGTTGAGGAATGTACCCAAGTATGGTAGACAAGCAAATCAAATAGATGAGCCTAAAATTGGAGATACAGAGGGGCCTCTTGCATTTGGAGATGATCGCAAAATATTTAGGGGTTCAAAAGAACCAAAAACATAACATTTTTCCTGATCACACTATTGAAACCAATCGACATCAAATTTAGCATGAGAAGAGAGTTACGGACAGGGAAGAAGTCTAGCATTTTGGATGACCATTTAACCATATTTAGCTGTAAAATGGATCACAAAAACTAACAGCACGACGGAGCACGTAAATATTGGGCATCACTGGTCAAAAGCTAAGGGTAATATCTGGGCAGTGCTCTATGACGTAATATAGGAAGTAATAATTCCAAGAACTTTTATAAAAATTCGTAAAAGTTTTTCACGAACATAAGCAGGGACTTTTATGAAAAGTTGTAGAGGACGTTTAAGACATAAACATTGAAAAACAGTCCTTCAAGAAGTCAACGTGATATTAATATAGATATTTAGAAATATTTTTTTTTTTTTTCAGTAATCTTTAGGATCACTAATATGGGCATTTAAAAGGATATTTTCCAAGGAATTTTAGGAAGCCTTTCAAGGGTAAAAACTTGGAATTTCTGTAAAGATTTTTTCAATGGTCTTTAACTCAATTTTCTCAATATACTTTTAGACTATCAATGTTAACACTTAAAAGAACTTTCAAGCCTTTCACTTGGACATTAAAAGGACGTTGTGCTTTGACGAAGCACATAACCATCAATGTATACATCATTCAGCATGTATACATTTTGTTAGCATCCTTCAAGACCACCAACATCAACAATATTTTTTCAAGGTTCTTTTGGAAAATTTTTTTGATATTAACGTGGACATTTATAATGACATTTCAAGCTTGTGTATGCAGTTCAGGTCAACAAAATTAGATTTATTTATTTTTCTTCAAAACTCAAAAGGGTCACATGAAATTCACGCATTAGGAGGATGAGAAAAGAAAAGAAATACGTCAAAGCCGGACTAGAAAGTTAATAAAAAATTAAGTTTAGTATGTAAAAGGAGGCTACAAAAATCATCAAAAATTTATGTTTAGTCCTTTATCTTAAAGGACATCAAAGTAGGTGGAATTTTTGAAAACAAAAATTACGTTTGGTTTGTCTATTTAGCCTAGAAAATTTCATAAAAAATTCCAAATATGACATCATCAAAGAGGCTGATTAAATTTTCACATCGGAGGATGTCAACAGATTCTATTAAGTCTCTCCTAAACAATATTTAAAAGAAATTTAGGACATGATCTATTATTTAACAGGTTTTGACTATCGTGGAATTTGAAAATAGTAATTATGATTTTCATTAAGATTTTTCGGATTTTCAGATCCGTTAACTTTACATTTTCATTACATTTCGTTTAAGGACTTCTGATTTTGGTTTTATAGAAATTAAAGGTTCATTAAACATTTTAGGATACATTTTTAACAATTTTCGAGGGATTTCAGGAAATTTTTTTGAACATTTTGAGTTTTTTTATTGCATTTTCAAGGATTTTTTAAAATAATTTTTAAACATTTTCTTAGGTTTTTGGTAGAGTTTATTTTCACATTTTCAGGTTAACCTTTATGCAGTGAAGTAAAGTTGAAAAAAACTAATTAAAAATCCAGATTAGGGACATCAAGGTAGGCTTTTCAAAAATCATGAAAAATGACTTTCAGGGACCGTACCTTGCTCTAAAATGTGTTAATGTCTTCTGAGTATGGTATTTAGTTTTGTATTAAGGTTTTAAAAGTATTTTAAAGGCCATAGGTCTGAGATTTTCTTTAATTGAGATTTAATTTAATTTTTTAAATGATTTCAAAATTGGAAAAGGATTTTGAGGGCAATTTTTTAGCAATTTGAGTATATATATTTTTTTTAAATTTTGGTAATAATTTTGATAGCTATTGGAACCTTAAGAAAAAATGTTATTAATAATTCTCATTACTACATGGGTACAAACAAATTTTCAACGTTGAAAAGATCTTTCATTCCACTACAAAAAAATTGCCTTGAATCTATTTCCATGAGTACTATTTCAACGACCTTCCAATATCTTGAAGTAGGTTTCATCACAGCTACATTTAACTACAAATATAGTACCAAACACAGGAATAGGAGTTCTTGTTGTCGTTGTTACATCGCTGCAACATTCTGCTGTTGTTGTCCTGTTGCTGCCTTAATCATTCACTACAAATGTCGCCACTATTCTCAGTTGTGTTTTGTGTTGTAATACAAATAATGGAATCATCTTCTCAGGCGTCACGCGTTGAAACAAAGCCTAGAAGAGT